CCTTGGTGTGCTTTGGGCACAAAAAAGTTTGGGAACCACTGCTGTAGAGAAATGTAAACGTTCACCATCCCCCACCCGCCTACTGTATGTTGCTTTTTGACATGTAAATGGGTAACTACCCCCCTCTGAGTGAATACCTGTTGTACCTGTCCGGGGCTAAGCCCATAGGACGATGCTCTGATGTCATCACCCTCGCACATTGGTCATATGTTTACAAAAAACGATGTTAACACTTTCTCGTTCTTAATATATGCTATATTTAGGTCGATATTGTTGAATTTACTTTAAAATAGCAGATCACTGTGATTCACTTCTCCGCGGCTCCTCCGTGCAGAGAGGCCCCCCCCCGTTGACAATTCACGAGCGTCTAACTCTCTCCCCCCTGTGAAGAGATATCACAGGGGGGGGTGGGACACACACATTCCGATGGCCAATTCGTTTTAAACAAAGAGTGGGGTGGGGGCTGGTGAACGGTATGGTCAATGTTTGTAAACACTGTGACATTTTGACTTTATTTGATCATTTCAGTTAAAAACTAACGTTCATATTTCATATTACTGTTTTGCCTGGCTGGACCTGTAATTTACAGGAAAGGAGTGCACGCTACTAAAGAGACACGCTACCATGGAAACCAAACAATGGTGTTGCTGTATTGAAGTCCGAGTGGAAACAGTCATATTTGGAGCGTTATGTTAGAATGAAACAGCGAGGTCGTGACTCACAAAAAAAAAAGTGTTACTTCACTAACTGTAAGCTTGTCACTCAGAGTAACCTACAGTTAACTTAACTGTTGGAAAAGAAAGATCAGAGTGAGGAGTGTGAACACACAGCTGAGAGCTGCCGTTTCATTCTGACTGTTTAAAAAACGGTAACAACGGACTATTTTTCTTAGCGGATGCATGTAAATTTAAATCAATACATAGAACTATGTTTTAAATCAATACAAATATTTTCTAAATCCATAAAAGCATTTTAATTAATATTGGGAGTCATGTCGTTACTTTGTTGAGAATGTGGCCATGTAATAAGCGGGATAATTTGCAGCGACTTGGTCATTATGGGGAAAAATAACACCCAGGGATCAAGATCCCTCCGCGACGCGGAGGGATCAGTAATTTTTAGTGAATTACTGAGTTTAGGCACGTTAATAACATTTTAATGAAGTTGAATACAGTATATTCATATTTGTCAGTGATTTCATGTCAATTCGGCGAACATAAACGATTAAATTAGGATTAAAAAATCGAGAGCCGGCTGCTGTTCGTTACGGTAACCCAACTAGGACACTTGACACAGTGGCTTTTGGCAAAGCACACAAAGAAAACAAAAAAAACCGAGAGAGATGAATTATTGTTATTACAACGTGACTTCACTATTATTTAACAACTATTTTTATTGGGTTCTTTTATTTGGGGTTAAGTACATTGTCAGAATAAGTGAGAAATGGATTTAACTTCTGTTAGACAGCTATCATACTGAATAAATATTTATGCAAAGATGTATGGCATTAATAATGTATATCTAATTACATTTAAAAATGTATGGCATTAATAATGTATATCTAATTACATTAACTGTGAATGTCTTTCATTTTATTTAAAATGAAATAAAATTACATAAAACATTTTCCATAAAAAAGTTGATTCAAGAACAAATCAGTACTTTTCTTATATGACTATTATTGCTAAATTTGAAAGGTCTTTACCAGCTTTGGAATTATATATATATATATATATATAGCACCTTCTGCCATCCCATCTCTACTGACATATGGATCTTAACAAAGATCCGCTATACATTAGTACCAGATATACTGTACACGGACATTTTAGTGAACCAGACCAGCTGTTTCCGCCGGGTCTTCGCTTCCCGGGCATCACGTTGTTTACAAGTGTGTTCAGATGCTAAATGACAAGTGCAAGTGACAATTGTTGTCGTCTTCTCTGTGAACGTTTTTTTCTCCGTTATTTTGCCATTTTCAGATTTAAATTTCGAGCGGAAAGCTAACCAGGAAGTAATAATTACTTAAGCGGAGAACGGAGAAAGTAAACGTTACAGCAGGCATAACAACAGCCGGTGTTTATTTTATTATAATATTCAAGAACAAATCAGTACTTTTCTTATATGACTATTATTGCTAAATTTGAAAGGTCTTTACCAGCTTTGGAATTATATATATATATATAGCACCTTCTGCCATCCCATCTCTATATATAATATCTATCCGTGACATATGGATCTTAACAAAGATCCGCTATACATTAGTACCAGATATACTGTACACGGACATTTTAGTGAACCAGACCAGCTGTTTCCGCCGGGTCTTCGCTTCCCGGGCATCACGTTGTTTACAAGTGTGTTCAGATCGTTCAGATGCTAAATAAAAGTTTAGCTTGTACTTTTGATACCCCGCCTCTCGGCACCACAACATCCAGTTTACTGTATTTCACATGAGCGATGTCGAACATTGAAAAGTCCTTATAAAATCTCTGTTATTAGATCAGTACTTTTCTTATATGACTATTATTGACTTGAACACTGAGAATGTATTTATTAACTTCAGACATTTGAAATATTTGAAATCAGATGAAAACAAACTGTAACGGACCCTGCCGTGTTATCTATGATTACTATGCCTTACTGTACATTCATAATTTCAGCCGGAGGTAGGTGGTAGGCGTTGCGGAGGAGCAGATTGCGAGTGAGGTGCCTGTTCTAAACGAACTATTCCAGCTGTTATAAAGCATTAAATAAAAAGTAAGCAAGGAATACAGAATGTTTCGTTACGTAACTTTGTTGAGAATGTGGCCATGTACATGTAATACATGGGATCATTTGCAGCGACTTGGTCATTGTGGGGAAAAATAACACCCATCCTGATCGTTTTCAATGAAGTTGAATACAGAATATTCATATTTGTCAGTGATTTCATGTCAATTCGGCGAACATAAACATCAATGATGATGATTAAATTAGGATTAAAAATCGGGAGAGCCGGCTCGTTCGTTTTTCCGACTAAACAACATCTATTATTTAGAAGTTGATTTCACATGACTCCAGTGTGGAACCCCACTGCACCCCCTGGTGGATCAATGATCCATTGCAGCTGGCTTCACAATAATTAAATGTATTTATCATGGGGGCGGTATCAAGTCTGACTGGGGGCCGGCCGGCCATCACGGAACGTGCATGAACCGATCACGACCCTCGCACTTTAAACTGTCCAAAATAAGACGCTTCATCTGTAGTATCTTGAAAATATGCAAAAAAACACAATTAACATGTCCCATATGGTCTAGCGGTTAGGATTCCTGGTTCTCACCCAGGTGGCCCGGGTTCAACTCCCGGTATGGGAATAGGACATTTATTAGTATAGTTTAGTTTGTCAAAAATATGCAAATACCACATAGTATAGTTTCTCGAAAATATGCAAAAAAACAACAATTAACATGTCCCATATGGTCTAGCGGTTAGGATTCCTGGTTCTCACCCAGGTGGCCCAGGGTTCAACTCCCGGTATGGGAGTAGGACATTTATTAATATAGTATAGTTTAGTTTGTCGAAAATATGCAAAATACCACATAGTATAGTATCTCGAAAATATGCAAAAGAAACAACAATTAACATGTCCCATATGGTCTAGCGGTTAGGATTCCTGGTTTTCACCCAGGTGGCCCGGGTTCAACTCCCGGTATGGGAATAGGACATTTTTTAGTATAATGTATATATAGTTTAGTATGTCTAAATTATGCAAACAACTACATAGTATAGTATCTTGAAAATATGCAAAAAAACAACAATTAACATGTCCCATATGGTCTAGCGGTTAGGATTCCTGGTTCTCACCCAGGTGGCCCGGGTTCAACTCCCGGTATGGGAATAGGACATTTATTAGTATAGTTTAGTTTGTCAAAAATATGCAAAATACCACATAGTATAGTTTCTCGAAAATATGCAAAAAAACAACAATTAACATGTCCCATATGGTCTAGCGGTTAGGATTCCTGGTTCTCACCCAGGTGGCCCGGGTTCAACTCCCGGTATGGGAATAGGACATTTATTAGTATAGTTTAGTTTGTCAAAAATATGCAAAATACCACATAGTATAGTTTCTCGAAAATATGCAAACAAAACAACAATTAACATGTCCCATATGGTCTAGCGGTTAGGATTCCTGGTTCTCACCCAGGTGGCCCGGGTTCAACTCCCGGTATGGGAATAGGACATTTATTAGTATAGTTTAGTTTGTCAAAAATATGCAAAATACCACATAGTATAGTTTCTCGAAAATATGCAAAAAAACAACAATTAACATGTCCCATATGGTCTAGCGGTTAGGATTCCTGGTTCTCACCCAGGTGGCCCGGGTTCAACTCCCGGTATGGGAATAGGACAAGTATTAGTATACTGTAGTTTAGTTTGTCGAAAATATGCAAAATACCACATAGTATAGTTTCTCGAAAATATGCAAAAAAACAACAATTAACATGTCCCATATGGTCTAGCGGTTAGGATTCCTGGTTTTCACCCAGGTGGCCCTGGTTCGACTCCCGGTATGGGAACAGGATATTTATTAGTACAGTGTATATATAGTTTAGTATGTCTAAATTATGCAAACAACTACATAGTATAGTATCTCGAAAATATGCAAAAAGAAACAACAATTAACATGTCCCATATGGTCTAGCGGTTAGGATTCCTGGTTTTCACCCAGGTGGCCCGGGTTCAACTCCCGGTATGGGAATAGGATAATTATTAGTATAGTTTAGTTTGTCGAAAATATGCAAAATACCACATAGTATAGTATCTTGAAAATATGCAAAAAAAGAACAATTAACATGTCCCATATGGTCTAGCGGTTAGGATTCCTGGTTCTCACCCAGGTGGCCCAGGTTCAACTCCCGGTATTGGAATAGGACATTTATTAGTATAGTTTAGTTTGTCAAAAATATGCAAAATACCACAAAGTATAGTTTCTCGAAAATATGCAAAAAAACAACAATTAAAATGTCCCATATGGTCTAGCGGTTAGGATTCCTGGTTCTCACCCAGGTGGCCCGGGTTCGACTCCCGGTATGGGAACAGGATATTTATTAGTATAGTGTATATATAGTTTAGTATGTCTAAATTATGCAAACAACTACATAGTATAGTATCTCGAAAATATGCAAAAAACACACACTTATAATGTCCCATATGGTCTAGCGGTAAGGATTCCTGGTTTTCACCCAGGTGGCCGGGGTTCAACTCCCGGTATGGGAATAGGATAATTATTAGAATAGTTTAGTTTGTCGAAAATATGCAAAATACCACTTAGTATAGTATCTCGAAAATATGCAAAAAAACAACAATTAACATGTCCCATATGGTCTAGTTGTTAGGATTCCTGGTTTTCACCCAGGTGGCCCGGGTTCAACTCCCGGTATGGGAATAGGACATTTATTGTATAGTTTAGTTTGTCGAAAATATGCAAAATACCACATAGTATAGTATCTCGAAAATATGCAAAAAAACAACAATTAACATGTCCCATATGGTCTAGCGGTTAGGATTCCTGGTTCTCACCCAGGTGGCCCGGGTTCAACTCCCGGTATGGGAATAGGACATTTATTAGTATAGTTTAGTTTAGTTTGTTGAAAATATGCAAAATACCACATAGTATAGTATCTCGAAAATATGCAAAAGAAACAACAATTAACATGTCCCATATGGTCTAGCGGTTAGGATTCCTGGTTTTCACCCAGGTGGCCCTGGTTCGACTCCCGGTATGGGAACAGGATATTTATTAGTATAGTGTATATATAGTTTAGTATGTATAAATTATGCAAACAACTACATAGTATCGTATCTCGAAAATATGCAAAAAAAACATACTTATAATGTCCCATATGGTCTAGCGGTTAGGATTCCTGGTTTTCACCCAGGTGGCCCGGGTTCAACTCCCGGTATGGGAATAGGATAATTATTAGTATAGTTTAGTTTGTCAAAAATATGCAAAATACCACATAGTATAGTATCTCGAAAATATGCAAAAAAACAACAATTAACATGTCCCATATGGTCTAGCGGTTAGGATTCCTGGTTCTCATCCAGGTGGCCCGGGTTCAACTCCCGCTATGGGAATAGGACATTTTTTAGTATAGTTTAGTTTGTCAAAAATATGCAAAATACCACATAGTATAGTTTCTCGAAAATATGCAAAAAAACAACAATTAACATGTCCCATATGGTCTAGCGGTTAGTATTCCTGGTTCTCACCCAGGTGGCCTGGGTTCAACTCCCGTTATGGGAATAGGACAAGTATTAGTATAGTTCAGTTACCTGTTGCTGTTCTACCTGAGAGACGCAAGAAGAAGACAAAGCGTGGGTGCCGGGCCGGGCTGCTGGTCAGACTGAGGAAACGAGAGAATCGACCCCCTTTTCCGAGTATTCTACTGGCTAATGTTCAATCCATTGAAAATAAGCTAGATGAACTCAGAAGCCGGATTGCTTTTCAGCGGGACATTAAGAACTGTAACGTGTTAATTCTCACTGAGACTTGGCTCAACCCCGCTATCCCGGACTCCGCCATTGTTCCTGATGGATTCTCTATTTTTCGTCAGGACCGGACTGCTAACTCTGGGAAAAGTAAGGGAGGTGGTGTGTGTGTAATGACTAATAACAACTGATGCACAGATGTGAAGATTATTTCTTCGGACTGTTCCGCTCATCTAGAGCACCTCATGATCACATGCCGGGCCTTTCATCTGCCGAGGGAATTCACAGCTGTTGTGATAACAGCAGTGTATATCCCGCCGCAGTCGCTCGCCGACAACAACACGGCACTCGATCAGCTGTTTGGGATTATTGATAAAACCGAGACTTCACGGCCAGATGCGGCGTTCGTTGTGGCCGGAGATTTCAACACCGCCAACATGTAGAAGGTCTTGCCAAAATATTACCAACACATCAGCTGCCCGACGCGCGGGGGAAACATACTGGACCATGTTTATTCCCCTTTTCAAAATGGATATAAGGCTCTCCCTCGCCCTCCCTTCAGCAAATCAGACCACATCTCACTGCTGCTGCTGCCTGCTTACAAGCAGAAACTCAAACGGGACAGACCGGTGACAAGGACAGTACAGCGATGGAGCGAGGAGTCAGATTCAACATCAACACACACACAGACACTGTCATCTGCTACATTGGGAAATGCATCGATGACGTGGTACCGAAGGTTTGTGTAACATTCCCAAATCAAAAGCCCTGGATAAACTGCGAGGGGCGCAGCAAGCTGAAAGCGCGCACTATCGTGCACAGAGCTGGAGATTTGGAGGAGTACAGGAAATCTAGGTACGATCTCCGGAGAGCAATTAACAATGCAAAGAGACAGTACAAAGAGAAGGTGGAATCTGACTTCAAAGGCTGTAACACCAGGAATATGTGGGCGGGACTAAGAACAATGACAGACTACAAAGGAGCAGCGGGGGGTGCTGCGGGAGTGTCTGCGTGCGCATCTCTCCCAGATGAGCTGAACAGTTTTTTTGCACGCTTTGAGAGCAGCCAGGCTGTGGAGGTACAGAGGGACCAGGAGCTACCCTGCCCTTTTGTTTTAAACAGGGCAGATGTGTGCAAATCCTTTAAAAGGGTTAACCCACACAAGGCTCCTGGACCTGATGGCATCCCTGGCCGTGTTCTCAGGGTGTGTGCAGTTCAGCTGGCAGAGGTGTTCACAGACATCTTCAACAGATCCCTGTTGCAGTCTGTAGTCCCCACATGCTTCAAACACTCCACTATCGTTCCTGTCCCGAAAAAGACAATAATCACCTGCCCCAACGACTACCGCCCAGTAGCACTCACCTCCATCATAATGAAGTGCTTTGAGCGGTTAGTCAAATCATTCATCACCTCCTCCCTCCCTGACTCTCTGGACCCCCTGCAGTTTGCCTACAGAGCAAACAGGTCCACAGACGACGCCATAGCCCTCACCATCCACACTGCCCTCTCACACCTGGACCCGAAGAACAGGAACACATATGTGAGAATGCTGTTCATTGACTACAGTTCAGCATTCAATACCATTGTGCCCTCCAAGCTGGCCATCAAGCTCAGAGATCTCGGGCTCAACAGCGCCCTCTGTGACTGGATCCTGAACTTCTTGACGGGCAGACCCCAGGCAGTGCGGGTGGGAAACATCACATCCTCCACCCTGATTCTCAACACCGGTGCCCCTCAAGGCTGCGTGCTCAGCCCTCTCCTCTACTCCCTGTTCACTCACGACTGTGTGGCCACACACAGCTCCAACACCATCGTGAAGTTTGCTGATGACACGACCGTCATCGGCCAGATCACAGACGATGACGAGACGGCGTACAGAGAGGAGGTCGAAAACCTGACATCTTGGTGCCAGGATAACAACCTCCATCTCAACATCAGCAAAACAAAGGAGCTGATTGTGGATTACAGGAAGCAGCAGGGAGAGGGACACGCCCCCATCGCCATCAATGGGACTACGGTGGAGAGAGTCAGCAGCTTCAGGTTCCTTG